TTGAAATACCGCAAAATTTGTAGTTGCAATATTTAGGAATATACGTTGTGAACGAACATTTAGCAAGCCTACAAGTGGCTGTTTCAATCAAAAATAAATATCATAATACACAAAAGGCATTTTTCTTCAGCATAGTTGATCATATTAAGATTTGCATCATGACTTGCACACATGGCAAACGGCAACCAGTGGAATCTTGGAAGGTGAATTCCTTTAACCTGTCAGCAACTGTCATAGCAATTAATTTCATGTTATCTCTTCTATTTCCTCTGACAGTCAAAGAATGCATATGAAAAAGTTGGAGAGGCGACAGAAACGGCATTGACTGTATTAGTTGAAAAGCTGAACGTGCTAAACACAGACCTGCATGGCCTTGATAAGCATCAGCTTGCCAATGCATGCAATACTGTTATTAGCAAAACATGGAATAAAGACTTCACCCTGGAGTTCAGCCGAGACAGGAAGTCAATGAGTGTCTTCTGTTCACCAAGTAGAGGCGGTCCTTCCAAGATGTTTGCCAAGGTAGGATATCATTGCAACAATAAATTGTCTTAGATTTTTCATGGGTATCATTGATCTGTATGAGACTGGCATTTGTGAAAACTGACTGGCTGCAGAGAATATTTTGTGGTTGTAAGTGGTACATTAGTGTACAGCTGGAGCTTGGTCCTTGAATGAAAAGACGTACGGTGCTGACTTAACTTTTTCTCTCGCAGGGAGCACCAGAGAGTATTCTTGACCGTTGCAATTACGTTCGTATTGGTACAAACCGTGTCCCCCTCACCACCGCTGTCAAGACACAGATCAAGTCTACCATTGAAGCTTATGGATGTGGTAAATGCATTTCATCCTTCTTCTTTTCCCCAAAAAAGATCCTTTTGTATGCCAAAATCAACAACAAAAATAGAGAAAAATTCATAAAAAAAATTCTTCAAGATTTTAGTGGGAAATATGGTGTTCAAATGGAATAAACATGATTGAGCTTTTACTATATTGTAAGTCACGAGAAATGCTATCTAAAATAATTTTGTTGGTTTCTGATTGTTGCACTTGTTGTCCATTTTCTACAGGCAGAGATACACTACGTTGCATTGGATTAGCAACCGTTGACAGTCCAATGAAGCAAGAAGATATGGAGTTAGAGAATGCCAGCAACTTTATTAAGTATGAGGTAAGAAAGAAACGCATGTTACATTGGTATTTCATTCTTTGCAGTTTACGTTCATTTTCCCATCGGATTAAACACCAATGCAATTTGCTCAGATTAATCAAATCAGGACTGACTTGTGTATTGATCTTAAGTTATAATGGAAACTCAAAAATTGTTAATTGGTCATTTTCAAATAGTGAGGCAATACTGTAAAATGACTAATTTGTCACTGGGTTTAAATTTCGCTGATTTACCAATTCAGGCATATTCAGTGGGTTTTAAATTCACGTTTTTATCATTTAGACAATGTGTTCTATGCTAAATTTCACATATTCACTGGGTTTTAATTTAGCGCATTTTCCAGTCAGTGAAATATGCAAAATTAAAATCCAGTGAGTAACTAATCTCTTTACAGTACTTTACAGCAACCTACCTCCAGTCATTTTTTCTGCAGCTGCAGTTTGTTATGGACTAAACCACCATCATCATTTGGGGTGGTTTGAAAGCAATGTAATTTCTGAATTGGGACATACCAGTAGATTGTGTAATATCCAAATGTTTCAGCAGATTAATGTAATTATGACTGCACTATGTAAAATGATGGATTATCTATCACCTCCGTGAATCTAATTTTTTTTTTATTTGTTGCTTTTGCAGTCTAACATGACGTTTGTTGGGTGTGTTGGTATGTTGGACCCTCCTCGTAAGGAAGTGATGGCCTCCATCCAGGCTTGTCGTCGAGCTGGTATCCGTGTCATTGTCATTACCGGTGACAACAAAGCTACTGCTGAGGCCATCTGCCGCAGAATTGGAGTGTTCACTGAACATGAATCACCTGAAGGTAAGTACATGTAGTTTTTAGACAGTGGGGTTCATTTTAAATTCAGCCAGGTCGTTAAACTTCTTTATTGATTTCTTATATGACTAATTTTTCTGCTATTCTAATTTCTTCCCTCTACTTTGCATGCAACTTTCAGTTGTTTGTACAAATAAAAACTATTAAAATTGTTTTTAAATTGATCAAGTTTGGTTCTATTAATTAATACCACGCTTTAGCCTCTATTCGGAGTATGCTTCTTACCGAGCAATTCCAGCGGTCACAAAAGCAAAAATA